TGCAGGGTGGGGTAGGGTGGGGTAGGGTGGGGTGGGGTGGGGTAGGGTGGGGTAGGGTGGGGTGGGGTGGGGCAGGGTGGGGCAAACGATTAATTTCGATTTCACTTGATGTCAATTCTCCGCCAACAAAGAGACAACGACGTAGTGACGACTAATTACCGTCCCAGGTAATTAAGCTCGCTGTCCGCGCTCCGGGGGAGTAGCAGTAGTGGGTCATCCGCCTGCCAACCAACCAGCCAGCCAGCGCGGGCGGGCGGGCGGGCGGGCGGGCACGGGCGGACACGGGCGGGCGGGCGGGCGGACGTACATAACATGCGCAATGGCACGCAACAGCCGCGGGTGACTAGGCAACACGAGGCGGAGGGCGACGACGTCACGTGGCCGCGCTATATAAGGCAGCTCGGCGACGGTCATGCCACGTTACTTCTACACCAGAGTCTGTTCTTTCCACTCGTCCGAAGTCACTGCAGCGTTGGTTTACAGGCTTCAATCGTTGGTACTGCACAAACACGGGTATGTTTTCATATATGCTATATATACGTTCTATACGTGATATCTCAGGTCGTAAATTTATCGTACGTAATCCGTCACACCCTCTGCGCATGACTACTAAGATCTTATTTCAAATACGCGATGTATTGCCATGTTCTCATGAACGTTGCATAGCCTAATCAGATCGTCTGCTACATTATTGCCTTACACGCGATGCATATTTTGAGGTCATTAGTTAATTATGTTAAAAGGGAACGCGATAACAGTGCAGCGATCATTTATACAGTTTACATTCATACCGTGATGAGAATAATTGCTAAATTATGTCGTGTCTCTTGACAATGCGCGGATTACCGTTGTATTGTAAACTCGGCTGCAGTTTGCTTACACCGCTACTCGGTAAGCCATTTAATTGCTTATCTACAGGTGATTTTATACATCGTTCAATCTGATTCTAATCGTGTATAAAACTGGTTCATGGCAGGCAATGATTTGCTAATGTGCGGAGTGCAGCATAGCTTTACAGGCATCGGGCGTGGTGGGGGCAAGTTAGTATTAAGATTGTTTGTATTCGAGGCGCGTTCATATACGTGTGAGCGTGTATCGCCACGACAGCATGCAAGCGAAGCGTCCTATCTGTACTAGATCTACTCATTGTTAATTCTGATCATGAATCCATTGAACTTTATCCTAGCTAAACACAAACGCATACACAATTTTACGTGCGCATTCCATAATCGTAGCTGTTCAACTTGTATAATACTAAACGACTCTAATATATAGTACCATGAACACGATTACTCCCAAGAGGATATATACATATCTCTTCTGGGGATACATATGTTCATGACAATACTTTTTACACTCGATTCATTCTCACACGCGCACGTGTACGCGCACGTGTACGCACGCGTGTACGCACGCGCATGATGGAAATACAGTAGGATTTGCCGACGCTTTAGCCGACGTTGTCATTTCACACCACTACATGTCATCAAGCCTTCCCGCACTATCAGCGGGACCTATCTACCTGTGGGTTTACGGTATTTTGTCGCTTCATTTCTCTACGTAAATATACACGGGCGGATATAAGAGCAGTATTTTGATGTGCGTTGATACAGGCATGAGGTGGGAGCTGGCTTTAACGCTGCTGCTGTGTGCTGCCGGGGTGCTGGCTCAGGACGGAACAGGAGCGGAAGATCCGGCCGGTGCCGGGGCCGGTGCCGGGGCCGCTGCCGGGGGCGCTCCACGCTACGAAGTCACAGAACGTGAGTTATATCTAGCTATAGCTATCTACACACACACACGCGGCCGCACACACACACGCACACGCACACACGCACACACACACACACACACACGCGCGCACACACACATACACGCACGCACGCACGCACGCACGCACAACACACACGCACGCACGCACACACAACACACACGCACGCACGCACATATGCGCACACACACACACACACACACTACACATACACACACACACACACACACACACACACACACACACACACACACACACACACACACACACACACACACCACCACACACACACACACACACACACACACCACACGCACACACACACACACACAGACGCACACACACACACACACACACACAGCGCGCACACACACACACACACACACACACACACACACACACACACACACAGCGCTAGCTGGAGCAGACGAACTCGCCTCGCGTCATTACGACCAGCATGCCAGTCACGAATTGAGTTCAGCAGGCCGCTCTCGTTTTACCTGCAGCGCGTTTTACCTGCAGCGCGTTTTAATTGCAGCACGCGCGCGTTTTAATTGCTGTGCTCTAACGATGACTAGAAACGCTTACAGGCGCAGTAACGAGCAGCGGTTCACCGAGCTGCTGAACACAAAGCAGCACATTCATTACTGTAGCACTTTCGCGGGTAGATCTGCTGTGTTGCCATCGGCGGTATAAGCATTGTTGTGCTGATGGGGATCATTGTCGTGTTGGCGGTAACTATTGTTATAATGGTGTTAAGCATTGTCGTGCTGGTCGTAACCACTGTTTCGTCGGCAGTGATATTGTTGCGCAGTCAGTCTCGATTGTTGCACGGCCTTAACTATTGTTGTCCTGATAGTGACCATTGTTATTCCGAGAGTGACCATTGTCGTGCGGGCAGTGGTTATTCTTGTGCGGGATATGCCTATTGAGTTGACGGCAACCAACGTTTCAATGACTTTCTTGTTTTTATTTGGTTTAATTGGTGTTTATTGGTTTTTATTTGACTTCATTGTTGGATTGATGGTTAATTTCAGCGTCTGAGTGCAAGCAATACCCTTGCCTTATTTTCGAAGAACTGTTCGAAAATCTAGACCTGAAGACATGGGAGCATGAGATCACTGCCAGCGGAAACGGGGTAAGGTGGACCCGGATTGCGAACATTAGATCATTTATGTATATATTTATCAGGCTGTGAAATGATTGATCTGAAATATGGGAAAACTCGAATGTACCGGCGAGTAAATATCGAAAACATAAAAAAACCGAGACGGTATGCTGCATATTCGCACTCAAATTATAAACGGGCTCCTTTTTGCGTCTTCTGCAGAACTGGGAATTCCAGACTTACACAAACAACAGGAGCAACAGCTTCGTCAAGGAAGACAAACTTTACATCAAGCCTGTGAGTAGAGATTATATTCCATTTTAATCCTTTAATCTCTTGCCGTAAAGGAACACGTATCAATATTGCATTGAGTCAGCATTGTTAATTTTACGAGAAGTGCCTTAAATCTTGGTTCGGAAAATCCATTATTGGACATGTTTGAATAATCTTTTGTGACATTGGAACTGTTCTGCGTGTGTGCGCACGTGGTGCAGTATGTAAATGTGCGTTTCCCCTGGGTTTGCACAGACTCTAACAGACGACCAGTACGGCGAGGATTTCGTTTATGGTGGAAGCCTCGACCTGTGGGGCGGTAACGGAAACAACGATGATTGCACAGGAAACCAGTTCTTTGGGTGCTATCGCGAGGGACCCGGCTTCAACCCTCAGACTAGAGAGAAAAACCCGGGTGAGCAACACGTTCAGACAAACCATCAATGTTTACTATAAATTGCCTTCATGCACTCACTCAATCAATGTAACACACACTCAATGTAAGAAATGGTGGTGTCATGCAACCCCCCCCCCCCCTATACACACGACATAGACGGTTACCTTACCGCATTTGTCCTTTATTGCAGGTGAAATCATTAACCCAGTTAAGTCAGCGCGTCTGAGAACCAAAGATAGCTTCGCTTTCAAATACGGACACATTGATGTCACAGCCAAGATGCCAAAAGGAGACTGGCTCTGGCCAGGTATAAAAAATGTGTGAACTCTCGGAATTGATAATATCTCATTTATCTATTGACCTTGCACATTTGCAAAGTTTTAAGAAAAATTTCAAATCTAAACGTCATCTTGTAAAGGCAACGAAACAATGGCTGCATGAAATAATTCAAATATTTTTGTTAAGTGCTTAACGCTTTCACAATTGACTTTAAATTGAATGCAGAGGCATTCATATTGCATTCATGCATTTATCGTATTTTAACATATTCACGGTCGCTTTCTAAAGTCGCGAAACATGCTGATATTTTACACAGCTGTCAAGCTAATCCCCAAATACACGAGCTACGGCAAGTGGCCGGCATCTGGTGAAATCGACATAATCGAGTCTAGAGGCAACTTTAACATCACTGGTGACTTCGGTCAGGCTCTTGGTGCCGGTGTCGTCCAGTCGACGCTGCACTGGGGTCCGTACTGGCAAGCCAACGGCTTCTTCAGAACCATCGCCGGAAAGTAAGCAGCAACGTTTCTACATAACCGTACAAGAATATTAGTTTTACAGTAAAATACACACGTCTTTTTGTAATACATATAGTCGTTTTTAATGGCCTTCTTGAAGGTCTATGTTATTAAAAAATGCACATTTCAGAGTGAACATTTTTATGTAGTATATATTATGATACTCGACGTTTTCGCTCACACAAGAGTGAAATGCCCACCACATTAGATGATATGATTACATATATAATTATTTATTATTTATAGGCCACTGGATCATGATGGTTTCCATAAGTACGGTGTCACGTGGACAAAGGATTTCATCAAGTAAGTAAATTACGTGCCATTGAAAGCGACGTCAGGTAAATGTAGATTGTGTTAGCAAAAATATTATATAAAAAGTTATAGCGGCGTACGTAATATTCACAATTTCTCTCCCTTACCATTAGAATCACCACCCCCCTCTATTATCTGGCATCAGTAATTACTCACCCATCTTCGATTGCTACTCGCTTTCGACTTCAGCTCCGTACGTTAGTTGCAGTCCATGCTGTGTGTAACTGTTAGTTAACCTACGCTCGCATTCTTCTGCCAGGTTCTACATTGACAACCAGCCACTGATGGAAATTAACCCGGAGACAAACTTCTTTGAATTCGGCATGTACGAGAAATTCTTAGACATCGCTAACCCATGGTCCGGCGGAACGAAGATGGCTCCATTCGACCAGGAGGTATGCAAGACATTTTACTATACGTGTGTATTGTTAGGTTACTTGTACCCAGGGACTCCCTGCACGTAGGAAACTTTACTATTAATCAGATAAACCACCTCGAGTGTGAGAAAGGAAAATGGCGGTGCTGTCTTGTCTACGTGCACATACATGCAGCTCTACCCCCACCGCCGCCATTACTGGTTAAACACGAACCTCGCATCTTCTTCTTTTCTGATTCGATATAACGGTTTCTAACTTCAGTTCTACCTCGCCATCAACTTGGCCGTCGGCGGAACAAACGGCTACTTCAGTGATCTGTGGACTTACGCCCCCACCACGAAGCCCTGGGCCAACCTCGCCCAGTTCCCGATGAGAGACTTCTGGGAGAAGAAGGAAGAGTGGTATCCCACGTGGCAGGGCGATGAGAGCGCCTTCGTCGTTGACAGCATTCGTGTATGGAAGATCGAAGAAGACTAAGCAAAAGAAAGAAGCGCGTGTATACCTCTCGGCAACATTCGGAAACCGACGAGCTGGCATACATAGCGCTTGAATGACTCCGAAGATGTTGCGCGCTAGAAAATTATTGTAAACTTAAAGCAGAGGTGACTGTTCAGAAGGAATGCCCACTTGTAAGCCACAACACCGTTGTCATCCTGACCTGAATGGTCTATCTATCGTGTCGAGGGCCGTTGTCAGAACAATGCGATACTTGGAGCTGATATTATGACAACGATCAATTTTAGGGAATAGATTAGTATTACGATAAATAATAACGACAAAGTTACGACATTTCTCTAAACACTCGTCCCGACACCAAAAATGATGACGAGGATTAATCTTAGGACTGATCATTGTTGTGACAATTACCTCTCAGGTGTGAGACGACGATGTGACAATACGATCTCGCGACGTTAATCGAATGTAGGTGACAACGTGGGTGAATGACACGCTTATAGCAACGGCGGATATATACGCATCATATGGTGTACATTCCTATCACACTCTCCCCTATGTGATTTTTGTGTGACCAATGCTGTAAGCCAAAGCAGCCCAATTTAGAAAAAAAACATTAATTTCCTATGGATGATCGAAACTAGTGATATATTTCCTTCTAATCTATAGAACTTCAGGAAACCTATGGGAGCGTTTATATCACAATTTTCCTTAAATCTCTCCGTTTCTCGTACGTTTAGAAAGTAGAATAGATGAACTAATTTCCCTACAACTGTTATTAATTAATTCGACTGCGATTCGGCGCATTATTTTCGAACTAACACTGTACAGGATGGATGTTCATTCATGACAACCGCACAACAGTAAGATGGTGGTGTATAACTGCCGAATCACTGATGAAGACAGATTAGAATATTGCTGCGTTACATTTACACTATTAAGCAACTTATTCAACGGAATTCAACAGGAATTCCTCGCTGTATTTCACGTATATATATATATATATATATATACAGAAGCGTACCTGCGTGTATATATATTTATATATATATATATATACACGCAGGTACGCTTCTGCATCGACTTGCTGGTCCATGCACTACTTGAGAAAAATCACTCTTGCTATTACCTGCTCCCAAATCTTATCTAACGATCTTCAACAATATTACAAGATTATAAACCGCTTGGTGCGTGTAGGCTTGTTAGGGTTTCTACTGTTTTACTGTTACCTATATGATTTTGGAATCCCGTGTGTATATATTTTTTATCTGGAGATATTAAACTACTACTGTTACAAGATATTTCCGAGCGTTCTCTCATTTGTATTAGCACATCGAATAACGTCAACTTGGAGAATAAATATTCAAGGTATTTATTAGTAATATTTATAATTATTACTAAACATGTGAATTACAAGGCACAGTCTGTACAGGACGAAATTTCATGGCATTAGTAGTAAAACTCCTAGCATTAGTTTCACATCAAAAGAAATATTACATAGATACATGCAATCAAGAGCTAATAATACCTCTTATTATTAGCTCTCGATTTTTATTATCGATTATAATCGATTATTATTAGCTCTTGATGCAATTACTATTTTTTGGAATCAACCATCTTTACATTTCAGATCTGATATTCCGATTTCATATACCAGTGCAACGTTTAGCCTATACAATGTTTAACCTTGTCTTCACTGGAAAATACGTTCATTCCAGCTACCTTGCGCGCATTTTCCTAAACATTACAATTGGCAAACAAAATTTTATTGAGCTTTTCGTCGTGCGAAGACTGTCGAACAATAAAGCAGCAAGTGAGCAAGTTGGACGGAGACAATATTTTTCGTATCTTACAAGACGTGAAGGAATCATGTGAACACCTAGCAGTACTTGGCACAGGGCATGACGACATACATATACCTCACAACGCATAGCCGTGGCACTCATTTCACACAAGAAGCAAAATTACGTTTACTGAACGCTAATTCAGTTGTTTTTGCTATGCAAGGCATCCCGTTTCTGGACAAGCTTTTCTCTGTAGCTAGGGCAGTCCGAATGGATTGCTAGCCAACTAACTATATCAGCATCAGTGGCATACTGAGCGAAGAATCGACAGGTGGCAGCACTGTCTTTCTTGTGAGTTTAAAATAAAAAGCAGGCTTTCCGTCAATTGTAAAACGACAATTATGTACATAACAGACACAATAACAGAACAAAGCAGTTCAATATCAACCCGTGTTGTCTGTGGTCGTACGCACAATTCTACGTACAGAAAATGACTTAAACCACTCGGATTCTTTTAAAACAATTCAAATCCTTAATGACTATACTGACTAGAATAACTTCAAGAATGTTGCAAGTTTGAGCGATTAAAACATTTACACTATCTAACCAGAGGCACGTGGAGGACATAGCTTAAGGGATATCTTCTATACGAAGAGATTGAGAGAGAGAGAAAGAGAGTGACAGAGAGAGAGAGAGAGAGAGAAAGAGAGAGAGAGACAGAGAGAGAGAGAGAGAGAGAGAA